TTACGTATACAATATTCTGTCTGTGTGTATGTCTGCAGGCCAGAAGAGGGCACCAGACTTCATTACAGATGGTTGTGAGCCACCATGTGGTTGCCGGGAATTGAACTCAGGACCTTTGGAAGAGCAGGCAATGCTCTTAACCACTGAGCCATCTCTCCAGCCCAATTGGGTACACTCTTATCTGTCTATCACTACTGAGGATTTAGCTCTGCTCCTAAAGTTGCCTGCTGGAGACTTCTGGTTAAATTCTATAAGAAATGTACCACCTGAAGCAGCGTGGATTGCAAGGTTATTAAATAATGCTGCTGCTAAAGCAGTAACTCAGAATTAATCCCTTACTTCCTTATCAATCACTTATCCTTCCTTTATCTTCATCTCCTGCTGGAATTATACAACAAGGTATTGTAGAAATTTATTCATGTCATAATTGTAAGCAATAATCTATAACTCAATTTATATGAAATTATAAACTTAATAATGATGGAAAGGACAAATGTTAAAGCATTTACTAGTAAAGAGCCCAGAGAAATCATTATGCCACTCAATAAAATGCAGGTTGATTGTTCCACACTGGTAATAATTGGCAAATTGCATTAGTATTTTACTTGGGCTCAATAGAAAATCACTATCCAAAAGATCCTTTCAATACTTTTTTTTTGAGATATCCTATGGGTATTGTCTAAAATTACATAAAAAAAATCCTATAGAGATTACTTTTGACGCTTTTACAGATAGCTCTTCAAAAGAACAAGGAAAACATTTTATATAAAATTCTAAATGCCCCAAACAATATTCTAACCATCCCACTTGCACAGCTCAACAGTCTGGACTTGTTACATTCCATCAAATCTTATTAGATGTTTCCCACCCACTAAATATTCTAACCGACTCCATTGTTTATTTAAATTTGAATGACAGTTTCTTGGTGGACTAAGAAAGAATCGGCGTCATCCAGTTATGTTGGGTAGATTTAAAACTTCAGTCTGCACATCCTCACCCCAAATGGGTACCCTGAAGGCAGACTGAGGCTGACGTGAACTGATCTCATACATACATTAGCACATGGAGCGTAGAGAAGCACCGAGAATAGAAATCTCTCTGCTGCAGAGGGATGGTGGACGCGGAAAGGGTATAATGAAACGTTTGGGATGAGGTCTTTAAGGACGGAGCAGGAAACAGGAAGTCAGAACAGATGGGACGTGAGTAGCCTGGAGACAAAATGGGAAACACTGGTGTAGCGCACTACTTCAGCTGAGTTTCTGTGCCTTAAAACTCAAAGGAAAAGGATACCTGTGGCAGCATTCCCTGCTCTCCTTTCCCATCTCCTGTGCATCCCACAGATCTTACCCTTCTAACCTCACTCCCCCGACTTACTGCTTTACTCCAGACCCCCAAACGAGCAGGCACCCTCTGCTAACCCACAGGCCAGGCCTGCCAGAAATTCAGGTAGACTGCCAGTAGACCCTTTCTTCCCCCTCCTCCCCAGATCCAGTGCCCCGTCTCTTCCCCAGCTCCACAACAGAACACCTGCTACAGCCTTCCTTCCCCCTCTGCCCACTCTTCCTATGGATCCCACTGAGCCTCCCTGCCTAAACTCCCCTTCAGACTTGCTGCTTTATTCTAGCCGCAACTCCAGCAGACACTGAGCACTAACCCACCAGCCATTCCTGCCAAGAAAGCAGGTGGGCTGCCTGTAGATCTCCCTCTTTCCTTCCGTTCCCCTAGATCTAACCTGAGACTCTCATCCCCAGAGCTCCAGCAGACCCTTTGTGGTGACCATGCTTCACCGACTCCCTCTGTTCTCAGCAGATGAAATGAGACTATCCTTGTTAAACACTGTTCTACTCTCTCTTGTGAAAGCCCTCAGGTCCATAACCTAACCACATTGCTAAGTGTCATCTCCCAAGACCAGAAACACATTTTACCTGGAACCTTATAACCACAACTACCAGGTCTAAAGAAAATTCCCTACCAGGCAACATACAATCATCACGCTCTCCAAAACTTGACAGAGGAAATAGAAACCAAGGAACAAAACACCTACCCAACAAAGACAATTCTAGAAATCAACACGTAGGCCGATAATCAACCCAATCCCAGATGAGGAGACGGCAACCTAAAAACACAACAACGGCCAGGGCAAGATGTCTGTGCCAGAGCCCAGCTATCCTAGCTACTACAGAAGGCCCTGAATATTCCAGCATGGCTGAAACACAGGAAAAGACCTTAAAAACAACTGTATGAAGATGCTAGAGGTCCTTCAAGAGGAAATTAATAAATCTCTTAAAAACATTCAGGAAAGCATAGTGGATGGAAATGAGTAAAACTGTTTAAGACCTGAAAATGGAAACGGAATCAATAATCAAAGCACAAACTTAGGGAATTCTGGAGATGGTAAAATTAGTAATTCAAAAAGGAACTTTAGAGGCAAGCTTCGAGAACGGAATACAAGAGACAGAAAAGAGAATCTCAGGAACTCAAGATCTGAAAGAAGAAATGGATACTGCTAGGGACTGCCCACATTCCACAACCAGATTCCTAGCTTGAATGATTCAGTGCCAGCTCCACACCACTACTAAAGGCCAACGTGACATGTTTCCACTGTCGCCGTGGTCATATATGTGAATGCTCTATTATCCCCCACCCCCATAAAGTCTGCACTATCATGGCTTGGTCTCTCCCTCATCCCTACTCAGAGGCAGCCTTTCATGCCCCCCCCCCCCCCAAGTAAATCTCTTGTGTGAGGTTGGCTGCATGATGTGATCTTTACAGCATTCATTGGTTCTTCAATTGCCTCAAAACTCTAACATTGGTGTTGTGTGATTCCGATAGGATAACCCGGTGCAGATGTTACCCTTCAGGGATCTGAGCTTTACTGGGACCCTATTTCTTATCAGACCCACCTTCTGGCCCACCAATCGCTTTGCCCTCCATCCATCACGGGCAATTGGTACGTGATTCCTCTCAGTTAACGTAAATGCTTCCCCGAATCTCTGGTACTCTTGTAGGTAGAGGTACCTACCCAACTCTAGACCCTTTCCCTTGTCTTAGGCTTTATTTTTAGGCTAGGTTTTCACCCAGGTGCCAAGTCTCACTGGGCTGTTAGCCCTGACCCCTATTGAGTGTGCTGATGATCCACTAAATGCCTTGTGTATTCTTCATTTAGTCCTCCCTGACACCCTAGACTTTAGTCTTAGGACCTTCTTCTCTTCCTCACCCATTGGAATGACATCATCCATATCTTCTGCCCCCTTCCTGGGGTGCCTCTTAGAAAACTTCCAACCTATCCTTTTTGGCTCCCAACCTGAAGGGCGCCAAATTTATTAGCTTTTGCAAGCCAATATGGCCTCAATATCCCTTAGATAACTAATCCAATGTGGTGGACGAATGACACCCTAGATCCCAATGTTCTTGCCTAAAGTAATTAGACTAGGCATAGAGGCAATGTATTCAACCTTGGCATCGATTACAGTATCTTTTCTTTAAAAAACTTAGAAGGGAGGAGCTCTTGGGAGTACCAGGTCAGTAGGGAAACCAGGAATATTAACCACACGGGGTTGTCTCCTTAAGGAAGGAAATGGACATTTGTTTTCCACTCAGAAGGCTGGCCATATGTTGTTAATGACCTGGTGACCTCTGTTATCCATAGAGCCAGATCTCACCCACTGATTCCAGAATGTTCACTCCAGACTTTCCTTCCCTAGATCTTTCTCTTTAGCTTTGCTTCTCAGCCAATAGAAGCCATCCTCACAGGAGATGTCTGTCACATGGACTTTATAAACTGTGCTATTGAGCTCTACACTGTCCTTATGATCTGGATGACCAACAACACACCAGACTCCTCTCTAGTCACTTAAACCAAGATATGTAGCCTATCCTTGAAAAAATGACAGGTACTTTGAGTTGAGTTTTGATGTGATTATGCCTCATTCTGCAACACAGAATGTATTACATTTTATAATTGTAGAAATATTTTTTTCTAAACTGTATTATATTTAAATAGGTTTAGAATAAAACACCTGATGTTAGACTCCCTAAAGGTTTGAGCCAGCACCAACTAACATGGGCTGAACCGAGTTTTCTTTCTTGTCTCTTGTGGTTCATTACCTACCGCACTCAAACTCTGAGCCTTCTCTCCAGTGTTCAGGCAGTTCTTAATTCACTCAAGTTGACAACCGACATATACGGGTACAACTCTGAGATCCTTCAGTCTCTGGCTGCTATCAATCTCCCCTGTGGAAATCAATTTTTTGTGTCTTTTAAATTGTTTTTTTAATACAGTTTTTTTTTTCATTTTCCATAGCTATCCTCATTCCCACTCCCTCCCCTCCTCCTGCCTTCCCAACCTCCTCTCCCCATCCACTGCTCAGAGTGGGTAAGGCTTTGGAAAAATCAATTTTATAGTTCCATGTGAAACTGGAACTGGCTGACTAGTCTAGACTCCTAGCTTATGTAACTATGTTATATTTTATGTTATTCCTGTGTCACAAAGTAGGCCTTAATTCTGCATGTCTGGATAATGTTTTAGTTTACACAATTATGGTGCTTTATAATTAATGAACAATTCCTTGATTTCTTATTAAAGAACTTTAGAGCAAATATGGAACAGCCAATGACACTTATCACTAACTAATTCCCAACTGATCATACCTGGTCATGGGGCAGATGCACTGTATGTTTCTTTCCCATAATTTCAAAGGAACTGCTCTACTGTTTTCCATAATATGCTCAAATTTTGCAAGTGAACAACTGCAAACAATAGTCAAGGGAGTGGTCAAAGATCAATATAAATAAAAGAACAACTAAATCCCTAGAAATAAAAAGCAGATATTAATGAATTCCTTGAGGAATTTGAAGGATATTCAATGAGCTAAGCAAGAAGAACATCAAGTAAGTGAGGTCAGAAAATTAACAGAATAAAAGGAAAGTTAAGCAATACAAAGACGACAGACTGTAGCTCCGAAAGCTGCAGCATGAGAAAATAGGTGAGAAATCTTCAACTTTGGGGAAGGAAAAAGACATCACTCACTATCTCCACTAATCCTACCTAGAAAAACCAGAGGACACATGGAGAATTCAGTATCTTTAAACTAACAAAGGGGGAAGAATCTGATGAGCAGCAATAGAAATGGGATGTGTCCTCTCTCAACAGAAGCTGGTTCTAGGGGATAGTGGAAGTCACAGCAGCAACATGGAATTCAACAGCAGTGGAGAGATGAAGGTAAAATGTAGCAAGATTAAAGCTGCAGTGAGGAGCAGCGCAGGCAGCCCACGCTCCTCAGGGAGGAATATGGATGATCTTCAGGACCTTAGAAGCTCAAGGGCAAACCGCAGCACTGAAGTTAGTGTGACAGTGAGAATGTCACTTTGTGTTTGTTTTCAGGGGATTTCACTTATGAACAGCATGGAAGAATTTGTTGTGTATGACTTAGGATATATGAACATGCAGCTCTTAATTCTGAGTCCTGTTTGGCATCATGAACTATTTAGAGTAGGAACATATCCTTTCCACATCATACATGACTCATCAGTGAGGAGGTTTTGAGATCTGGGCCTTCATTACACCACCGAATTAAAAAAAAAAAACTGCTGCTTGAAATAATTCACCATCCTTCCATAGCAGACTTCTCTGTAGATCAGAAGCTGGGGGACAGCATTTTACTGAATTATAAATTCTTCCATGATTAGAGAGGATCCTCTCAAAAGTTACTGCTGTGTTCCTAACTATAACATCAATATGATATACCTTCTTTTGCTACATCACAATGGGCGCAGGATATTCTCCAGCTCTGGGCTCCATGGGCACAAACAACTACTCACCTATAAGGATCATCCCAACTCTTCTAACGCTGACATGAGGTGTCAGCTACGGCATTACATATGCAGGATCCATACTTATTCTCACACTAGCAGTGAGAGAATAAGTTCTTTGTTGTATCGTTATCTGAATCCATATGCAATGCCTCCAGATTGTCTACTGTTTCTTTTTTTTTTTATTATTACTTCAGTACTATTTTTTATTAAGCATTTTTGAATACAATCTTTTCTCATTTTACATAGCTAACCCCACACACTAATAATGGGACACTTCAACACCCCATTCTTACCACTGGACAGGTGAACCAGGCAGAAACTTAACACAGAGAGAAAAAGAGAACTAACAGATGTCATGACTCAAATGGAATTAACAGACATCTATAGAACATTCCATTCAAACAAAAAAGAATATACCTTCTTCTCAGCACCTCATGAGTTCTTCTCTAAAATTGACAACATAGTTGGTTAACAAAGCAAACCTCAACAGATACAAAAAAACTGGAATAACCTCCTGTATCTTATCGGATAACCATGACTTAAAGTTAGAATTTAACAACCACACTAATTGCAGAAAGCCTATAAACTCATGGAAATTGAACTGTGCTCAAGTGAATCATTCCCCAGTCAAGAAAGAAATAAACAAAGAAATTAAAGACTTCCTAGAAATCAACGAAAAAGAAGTCACAACATAACCAAACCTATGGGACACAATGAAAGCAGAGTTAAGAGGAAAGGTCATAGCACTAAGTGCCTACATAAAGAAAGTGGAGAAATTTCACAAAAGCAACTTAACAGCACATCTGAAAGACATAGAACAATAAGAAGCACACTCATCCAGGAGGAGTAGATGACAGGAAATAATCAGAGGGTTGAAATCATTAAAATAGAAACAAAGAAAACAATTCAAAGAATTAATGAAACAGAGAGCTAGTTCTCTGAGATTTACAAGACAGATAAACCCTTATCCATACCAATCAAAAGGCAGAGAGAGAACATCCAAATAAACAAAATCAGAAGTGAAAATAGGAACATCATAACAGACACCAAGGAAAATTAAGAGAATCATTTGGTCATACTACCAAAACCTGTACTTCACAAAATTGAAAAATGTAAAAGAAATGGGTAATTTTCTGGATAGGTATGACATACCAAAATTAAATGAAGACCAGGTGATAAATTTAAATAGACCTATAACCTGCAAGGAAATAGAAGCAGTCATCAAAAGTCTCCCAACCAAAATAAACCCAGGGCCGGATGGTTTCGGTACAGAATTCTAACAGAACTTTAAAGAAGAGCTGATAGCTATACTCTTCAAAGTATCCCACATAAGAGAAACAGAAGAAGCATTACCAAACTCTTTTTATGATGCTACAGATACCTTGACACTGAAAACACAGAAACACTAAACCAAGAAAGAGAATTACAGACCCATCTCCCTCATGAACATAGATGTGAAAATACTCAATAAAATACTGGCAAACTAGATCCAACACATTAAAAAAAAATCATTCAACATGATAAAATCGGCTTCATTTCAGAGATGCAGGGATGATTCAACATGAAAGTTTTTCACTGTAATCCACCATATAAATAAACTAAAAAAACCCCATATAATTATCTTATTAGATGCTGAAAAAGCATTCAACAAAACCCAACAACCCTTCATGATAAAGGTCTTGGAGAGATCAGGGATACAGGGAACATATCTAAACATAATGAATGCAATATACAGTAAGCCAACAGCCAATATCAAGTTAAATGAAGAGAAACTCCAAGTGATTTCACTAAAATTAGGAACAAGACAAGGCTGTCCACTCTCTCCATATCTATTCAACATAATTTTTAAGTTCTAGCTAGAACAATAAGACAAGAAAAGGAGATCAAAAGGATACAAATTAGAAGGGAAGAAATTCAACTTTTACTATTTGCAGATGATATGATATACATGTGACCCCAAAAACTCAACCAGGGAAATCCTACAGCTGATAAATACCTTCAGTAATGTGGTATGATACAATATCAACTCAAAAAAATCAGTAGCTCTCCTATATACAAAAGATAAAGAAGCTGAGAAAGAAATCAGAGAAACATCACCCTTCACAATAGCCACAAATAACTAACCAAAGAGGTGAAAGACCTGTTTGACAAGAACTTTAAGTCTTCTAAGAAAGAAACTGATGAAGAGAAAATGGAATGATCTCCCCTGCTCTTGGATAAGTAGGATCAACATAATAAAAAATGGCAATCCTACCAAAAGCAATCTACAGTTTCAACCCCATAAAATTCCAATACAATTCTTCTCAGACCTCAAAAAAAAAAAATATGCAACTTCATAAGGAAAAACAAAGTCCAGGATAGCCAAAACAATCCTGTACAATAAAGAAACTTCTGGAAGCATCACCATCTTTGACATCAAGCTCTATTATAGAGCTACAACAATGAAAACAGACTGGTAATGGCATAAAAACAGAGAGGATGGCAAACGGAATCGGATCAAAGACCTGGATATTAATCCACATACCTATGAACACCTGATTTTTTACAAAGAAGCTAAAATTACACCATGGAAAAAAGAAAGCATCTTTAAAAAATGATGCTGGTATAACTGGGTGTCAATATGTAAAAGAATGAAAATAGATCCATATTTATCACCATGCACAAAACTCAAGTCCAAATGGATTAAGACCTCAGTATCAATCCAACCACACTAAGCCTGATAGAAGAAAAAGTAGGAAGTAGCCTTCAATGCATGGGCACAGGAGACCACTTTTTAAATATTAAGACCAGTAGCACAGACACTGAAAGCAACAATGAATATAATGGGACCCCCTGAAACTGAGAAGCTTCTGTAAAACAAAGGACACAGTCAATAAAACAAAAAGGCAGCCTACTGAATGGGAAAAGATCTTCACCAATCCCACATCAGACAAAGGACTGATCTCCAAAATATATAAAAAACTCAAGAAATTAGACATCAAAATACCAAGCAATTCAATTAAAAATGGCATACAGATGTTATAGAGAATTCTCAACAGAAGAATCTCAAATGGCCAAAAGTTACTTAAGGAAATGTTCAACATCCTTAGTCATCAGGGGAATACAAATCAAAACAACTATGAGATACTACCTTAAACCTGTCAGAATGCCTAAGATCAAAAAAATCAATGATAGTTTATGGTGGAAGGTTGCAGAGTAAGGGGAACATTCATCCATTGCTGGAGGAAATGCACAGTTGTAGAACCATTCTGGAAGTCAGTATGGCAGTTTCTCAGAAAATTGGGAATCAATCTACCTCAGGACCCAGTAATACCACTCTTGGGCATATACCTAAAGGATGCTCAATCATACTCCAAGGACATTTGTTCAACTATGTTCATAGCAGCATTATTTGTAATAGCCAGAACCTGGAAACAACCTAGATGCTCCTCAACTTAAGAACAGATAAAGAAAATGTGGTACATTTATACAGTGGAGTAACTACTCAGTGGTAAAAAAAAATGATATCATGAAATTTGCATGCAAATAGATGGAACTAGAAAAAAACTATCCCAAGTGAGATAACCCAGACCCAGATAGATGAGCATGGTATGTACTCTTTCATAAGTGGGTACTAGCTGTAAAGCAAAGGATGAAGAGCTTACAGTCAGTGACCACAGAGAAGCTGAGTAACAAAGATAACCCTAAGAGTAACATATACAGATCCCCCTGGAAAGGGAAAATAGACAAGATTTCCAGAGAAAATTGGGAGCATGGGGATGGGGAGAGTAGGGAGCACAGAAGGGGAGGAGAAGGGGAGGGGTGAGGAGAACCTGAGGGAATGAGATAGTCAAGATGTGGTAATGACAGAGATGGAGAGCAAGGAAAGAGATGTCTTGTTTGAGAGAGCCATTATGGGTCTAACAAGAAACCTGGCAGTAGAGAAATTCCCAGGAATCCAGAAGGATGACCTCAGCTAAGACCCTAAGCAATAGGGGAGAGGGTGTTCAAATTGGCCTTGCCCTATAGTCAGATTCATGACTATCTTAAATATTACTATAGAACCTTCGTCCAGCAACTGATGGAAGCAGAGGCAGAGACCTGCATTGGAACACTGGACTGAGCTCCCAAAGTCCAGTGGAAGAGTGGGAGGAGTGAGAATATGAGCAAGGAGGTCAAGACCATGACGGGTACACCCACTGAAACAGCTCACCTGAGCTAATGGGAGCTCACCAACTCCAGCTGGACAGGGAAGAACCCAGCATAGGACCAAACTAGGCTCCCAGAATGTGGGTGACAGTAGTATGTCTGGGGCAGACTGCGAGGCCACTGGCTGTGAGACCAGGATTTATCCCTATTGCTTATATTGGCTTTTGGGGATACAATCTCTTTGGAGAGATAACTTGCTCAGTTTAGATACTGTAGAGAAGGCCTCAAAGCAATGTGTCTTCCCCTCGCTAAGGAGTGGATGGGAAGGAAGATTGGAGAGAATGGGAGGAGGGGGAGGAGAGGGAGGAAATGGGAACTAGGGTTGGCATGTAAAATAGAAAAGAGATATCTTTTTTTTAAAATAAAATAAAACTAGAAAAAAATAAAATGTAAGTCAACAGAATTTAAGAGAAGACATCACTACCTATTTGTAGGCAAAACTTTTTTTTATCATCTATTTAACCAACCAATTAGAAAAGCTTTATACTATCTGTTATTGCTTCTGTTTATTTAGTGACAATTTTAATAGTATTTTTAATTAATTTTATTTCATGTATATGGGTATTTTGCTTGCATGAGTAGCTGTGAGTTATATTCCTGGCATTCATGAAGCTCAGAAGAGGGTGCTAGGATCCTTTTAACTGTAGTTACAGTCAATCGTGAGCCGCCACGTAGGGGCTGGAAATTGAACCTGGATTCTCGGGAAAAGTAACCAGTGATCTTAACCACTGATCCATCTCTGTAGCCCTGACCAGTTTTTTTTTTTTTTTTAAAGGATGAAAACAAAGGAAAAGAACTAACCAAGCAGAAGAGATTTCTGAAATAAAAACATGAATTTGCCAAAAGGAACCGAGAATGACAGAAAAAGATGGGAAAACCCTGCATGTACATGGAATAGGAGATATTGTAAAAATATCAGTGTTTAAAGATTTATACAATTAACTCAGAATTCACGACGATCAATTTTCTCATGATTGACTTCACAGGTATAGTAAAGAGAATCCTATAAATCCACATGGAAGCACAAAGAGTCTGAGCTATCAGAGCAACTCCAGGCACACAGAACAGGGCTTCAGTCATCCCAGCCGTGACTTCACATGACAGAGCAGAACCACAACTCCAGGCACACAGAACAGGGCTTCAGTCATCTCAGCTGTGACTTCACATGACAGAGCAGAACCACAGGAACATGAACACCAATACAGTGACAGAAGAGAAGACACCTAAGTAGTAAGAGGAGCAGATATAGCACCAGGCGAAGCTACTGAATTTCACCACAATTCCAAAAATGTATGTTACAGGATGGGTAGCCTCGTCAAATGATGGTGTTGGGAAAAGTAAAGTATCTATTCATGAAATAAAGAAACTGGGTCCAATTCGATGAACTGTGAAACCTGCAGAGTAACACATGGGAAATAGTCCACATATAAACATAGGGACCTAGTTTCTGAACGACAGAACACCAAGAATAAGAAGCAGCAAACAGGATTATGTGCAATTAAAAACTTGCATGGAAATAGTAATAACTGAAAGTATGAAGAAACAGCTTATACATTAGATTTTTTTTTAAAAAAATCCATAATGTAAGTAAGTAATGTTCTAATAAATACATAAGCAAAAAGAAAGAAAAATTAGTAGGAAAAAGAAAACACTGCTCAAAAGCAGCTGAAACAGTTAAAATGTAAATGGCACATGACTAAAGTCATGAAGAAAATGTTCATCTAATGTACACTGAGATCTTTCTGCCCAGTCAGGGTCTACACTCAAAGTCCTAAACAATAGCAAACACCGGAGCCAATGCAAGAGGAAGAACAGATATAGTATCATTGGGAATCCAACTCACTGCAGCCATCAGGCAAGACAGTGTGCAGCTTCTTGAACAACCAAGCAAGCAAAAGGAGAAAACCCAAAACAGATACTCCTCAAGTTTATAAAGGAATGACATATGCTGAAGAATATCAACAACGTAGAAAGGAACTCAGAAAGAAAAAGACACATAACAGACAGAGAATAGTTAACAAAATGATGATGAGTTTATTTTTTCCTTCAGTGACTTCTTGAAATGTATGTGGAAATTATTCACAAAACCAAACATGAAAATAGGATACAGCTTCAGAAAACCCAAAACGTGAAATCAATATATATGTATATATGCTCATATACATACACACACATATATATTCTATGAAAATATTTGTTTTTACTTCAAATATAAGGATACAAAATGCTAAGAGTGAAGGAAGTTTTTTTTTTTTAATAAAATATGCTGTGACGAGGGTTGGTCATAATTATGGTAGGTAAGAGGAAAAGCCAAATCTATCAACATACAAAAGAAAGAGAAGAAACAAATGATCAAGTGGTCCATTTGCCAGAAAGCGCAGTGATCAACATGAATGCATTTCACAAAAGCTTTCAAATACACGAAGCAATCACTGAAGAACAGTAGGAAGCAACTAGACAGTGATGCAGGCAAGCTTCAGTCAGTGATGCTGGAAATCACGGCAGAACATTTGTGAGAAAGACCATGAGCAGCATAGAAAACCAGTAACGCCTAGCAGGACTCCAGAGAATCATGCACACAAGAGCAGAAGACACTCAGTCTTCTCTAACTTCAATCAGCTTGCTCCAGGGTGGATATGTCTTAGAACAAATCTTCAAACCTAGTAAAGATCAAGGTTTGAAAAGTGTCTCCTTTGGGTGGTGGTGGTGCACATTTTAATCTCAGCACTTGGGAGGCAGAGGCACACCAGTTTCTGAGATAAAGGCCAGCATGGTCCAGAGTGAGTTCCAGGAGACCCAGGACTATACAGAAAAGTCCTATCTTGAAAAAACAAACAAAACACCAAAAACCAAAATAAAGTGTCTCCTGCAAGAATCTAGAAGGCTGACATCAACAGTAGCTAGAAAATAGAAGAATCCATGGAAGACATGGGAACACTGACTCACTGCTGACACGTTCTCATTCAAGCATGTGAGGAAATACAAAAGGATGCTTGTGTTCTGTAAAGATTCTACGTCATTTGTACCAAGTTGTACAGTCATTTTTTTTAATAGAGAAAATCTCCCTGAAATTTATAAAAATTTTGAGAAACCACAAAGAGTTAAAAAAAATTATGAGAGCATCAACCCCAGAAGTGATTTCAAAATATATGAAAATTGTAGCAATGCATGAGGACATGAAGACAGACGACAGAGGATACCAATGGGAAGACAAAAAGACAGACGGAGTTTACTACTCTGTTACTAAGAGTTTTAAGATATTAAGAGAGATATTAACCAAATTTTATCAAAATACTACTGGTATTACCTTAGAAGTGGAGAAATTAACCTTAAAAGATACAGAACCTACCCAAAGAAAAACATATAGGCATCCTCCTGAATATTAACCTTCATCAGGCGATGAAAGGAGACAGAGACAGAGACCCACATTGGAGCACCGGACTGAAATCTCAAGGTCCAAATCAGGAGCACAAAGAGAGAGAGCATGAGCAAGGAACTCAGGACCACGAGGGGTGCACCCACACACTGAGACAATGGGGATGTCCTATCGGGAACTCACCAAGGCCAGTTGGCCAGGGTCTGAGAAAGCATGGGATAAAACCGGACTCGCTGAACATAGCGGACAATGAGGACTACTGAGACCCCCAAGAACAATGGCAATGGGTTTTTGATCCTACTGCACCTATTGGTTTTGTGGGAGCCTAGGCAGTTTGGATGCTCACCTTACTAGACCTGGATGGAGGTGGGTGGTCCTTGGACTTCCCACAGGGCAGGGAACCCTGATTGCTCTTTGGGCTGACGAGGGAGGGGGACTCGATTGGGGGAGGGGGAGGGAAAGGGGAGGCGGCGGTGGGGAAGAGACAGAAATCTTTAATTAATTCATAAATAAATAAATAAATAAATAAATAAATTAAAAAAAGATACAGAACCTGAAGGAATTGTTCTACCAAAAACTATATCAAAATTAAAATAAGGATAACTATTTAATATTGGTGTGAAGATACAACCAGCGAGATGAATGAGAGACAGCATCACAGTCAGATAAAATTATATTTGCCTCTGAGTATTAATTTCTTTTTTTGAGGGGGGGGGTTCAAGCAGGGTTTCTCTGTATAGTTCTAGCTGTCCTGGAACTCGGTCTGTAGACCAGGCTGGCCTCCATCTCACTGAGATCTGTCTGCCTCTGCCTGCCAAGTGCTGGGATTAAAGGTGTGCACCACCACCACTCGGCTCAGTATTAATTCTTACATAGAGAGTCTTCTAATAAATATAATAGGACAATCCTGAGATTATTCTCAGCAGACTTTTTAAAGAATCAGTTCTAACGAACCAGAACGTGGCAAAACCATTTTTATATCTCGTTTCTACTGTCACTTGAGCCCCTCCCTGTTGTGGGAATCTAATAGTCACTGTACCTAGGGTAAACATTAGGATGAATAGTTGTTTTCTAGATGTACTTAGACCCTGAAGAAACCACTGTGGAAAATACTGACTATTTTCTGTGATTTAGAGAGTTGTTTTTCTGAAGCAGCTTTACAGCTTTTGCATGGCTTTGGTCACAAGACTGTCTGGGCACACCCGGATATCTTGAATTATTGTGAACTGTAAACCAGTACTGTAAACCAGTACACAATAAGGACTAAAGTGGCAGGAGTGTGATATTTTCCTTTAGAAAACTTATAGATTAGATCAGGGCTATGGTATGAGAAACTTTTTTTTCTCAAAAACAAAACAAAACAAAACAAATTTTGTGTAATAATAAAGAAGGGCCTAAAATTCATCTTGGAGTGACCTTTCTTCGACCGACCTGAATAACACAAAACACCCGGCACCTCCCTACCCTTTCCTCAATCCTCTATCATACCTGGATCCTTTGCTACCGCCTCCTCTCTCTTCTCCAGCCAGGGGTTTGTTCTGCTGCACAGGTGAGCAGGTCCAGCTGAGCAATGTGAGACCTACACAGGACAAAGAGATTCTTCTGAAAGCACCTGGAACTTTTCATGGAACAAACATGGAAGTTGCTAACACCTGACGAAAGGATAAACATGAAGGAGAGAGAAAATATCAACACAAATGTCTCTTTCTCTAAGGATTTCACTTTACTCTCCAAGATGTGAGACTCATTCACACACAGCTCACAGACATGCAGAGCAGTTTTCCAAGAGCAAGGGAGACTGCAGGAAGATTATTCTCACCCTCAGGATCCACACTGCTGCAGTTCCCCAACAGGAGATCTCTGCAAAAAGCCCAGTGAGCAGGGTCTAGGCATTCCCACTCCTCCTGCAAAAGTCCACAGTCACAGCACTGAATGTCAACAAACCCTGAAGTAAAAAAACAACAGACTGTCCACGAGTGTATGGGAAAAGTGCTTTTCTTCAACCAAGGAGACAAATTTTCTGATTTAGGTGAGTGATCCTATTATTCAAACAGTGCTTTCTAATTTTGTTTTCATCTATAATGAGTTTTCTAGCTATAAAAAGTGTGGCCTGATATCCTCACAGCATACATACTACACCTGCCTGGACCTAAGAGGTTACATTAAAAACCTACATATGAAGATATATTTCTGAATGCTGCATTCACGTCATAGAACACATAAATCTCAGATGAAAAATTAATGGGGATTAAAAGTTTGCTTAGTAAAAGTTAACGTTCTCAACCAAAGCTGTGGTACTTGACACCAGAGATTAGCACTCAAACAGTTTACAGCCAGCTCAAGTCTTTATCCCAGCTAGCTTTATCACACCTAGGCCAGGCTTCAAGTATCCCGAACACAGAGTTTTTAAGGTCAGAGGCCTCCTCAGTCCAGGCGTCTTGCTTGGCATTCGCAGGGGAAGTTTTGCAGTGTCAGCAGTTTGAAGCAAGCATTTTTTTTTTTTTTTTAAAAACAGGGGCTAAGATAGGATGTTAGAAACCCCGAGAAGGGTTTCTGCACACACAGGCAGCTAGGATGTGTGTGCAGCTGGAGGAGGTTCTCTACAAACAAACAGTTTTTAAAAAGGTTAAGAAAGTTTAGGTAGAATAGGATTTGCTTCCTAGAATAGAGCTGGGTAGTTTTCCGTAGATTCGCCATCAAGGAAATCAGTTTCTAATTAACCCCGGGAACGGTCTCAGCAAGAATACAAGATGGAGGAACCTCTGCACGGTCTTGTCCTGTCACAGTGTATTTTCTGATTCAGTTAAACCTGCACGAGTTCCTCATGTGACTAATATCTACTAAGCTCTCTGGTTACCTCATCCCAGTGGCAAAGGCCATTCTCTTGAATAGGAACGTGGAAGAACAGGGGAATTAAGAAAGCATGGATGAATTTAAATTCCAGGGGCTTTGTAACTGCTACAGTGATAGCAAAGAACCGTGTTTGCAGACAGCATAGAATACAAACGCTTTACCAGGTTATTTTGTGAAAATATTCTGGCAAGCATAAGTCCCATTTCATAGGATCTCGAACTTACTGACAACGGAACAATATTCACAAGGGAATTTAAAAAAAAAAATGTGTCTTTCTGAGCAGCCTCAGCGATCACACCCCTGGCTCCTTCCCTCCAGGGTCCCAGCCCCGCAGCTCCTCTGACCTGGGAGGTTCCAGGGCCGCTGGACTGCGGTTCCCGCCACTGCGCGGCTGACTTTCCCAGGCCACCGAACGAGTCACCTTCGGTTACCTGGAGTTTTCACGTCCCTCTAGAGAAGCCACTGTCCTCCGCCCCGGATTCTGGGCTAAGCGGCTCCCCGAGTTCCCACAGCGAATGGTGCGTTTTTCTGTCACTCTATCCTGGAACCTAAGAGCGCAACCCCGGCTCCGCCCACTACAACCCGGATCTGCTCACCCTGGCTCTTCTAAACCCGCCCACGCCAGGCGCTTTCCCTTTTTCCAGGCACACTCAACTTTTTTCCTAGTCCTCTTCGGGGCTCTTGGGGGCCGCCCCGCCGAGACCTGTCCCACCCACTCCGCCTCAGGCCGCCTTCCACACAGCTCAGGCGGTCTGGCTGCCCTGGACCCGCTCTGCACAGCCTCCCCACGTGCTTGCTGCCGGCCACGAACAGAACTGGATCTAGGAGGAAGCTGCACTGCGGCATCTGACCCCACACTGGGTAACTTCTCGTCTTGGAATATCAGCCTTCTGGTCTTAAAAAACAAACAAACAAACAAACAAACAAACAAACAAACAAAAAACCGCACGGCGAAAGACAACAAGCATCGTAAATTCTAATTGCTTTTTGTTCCATTCCCAAAATATAATATTAAAACTGAAGGGACCACGCCCACAAAAAGGGGGCTGCTTCCTCCCTGACCCCAGATTAGAACCACACCCAAACATTTATCTTCTTCACATCTTCGCAGAGAGATCCTTTATTAAGCAGGGAATGGGTGAGGGGGGCGCGAATTAAAGTGACTGAGTTCTGACTCAGGCAGTAAAACAGCAGGAAATGACCTTGAAGGTGTGATTTTTTTTTTTTTAAGAGAAAAAAGGTGGAGGTCTGTGTTAGAAAGGACTGGGATGCAGTGGTACGTTTTGATTGGGCAAATTAATTAGATTAGGTAAAGGGAGATTTCGGTTGCTGGAATTAAAAACTTGATAGCTAGACAAGGTAGTCAACCAAGGACAGAAGACACAACAGGCATGAAGTAGAGAGTAAAATCTGCAGTCTCTCGGGGTTAAATGACTCCAGTAGGAAAATAATTATATTTCTTTCCTTCACACTGATGCATTACTGGAGACTAATGCATATGTTTGTGGAACAGCACTTAATGGAAAGAGAGGCCATGAATTTGAAAGAGAGCAAGAAGGGGTATATGGGAAGGTTTGGAGGAAGGAAAGGAAAGGGGAAATGATTTAGATATAGTATAATCATAAAAAGTAAAAGGAATAGTTTTTTTTTAAAAGAAATGAAGAGCTGGGCGGTGGTGGCGCACACCTTTGATCCCAGCACTAAGGAGGCAGAGGCAGGTGGATTTCTATGAGTTCAAGGCCCAGTCTGCTCTACAGAGTGAGTTCCTGGATAGCTAGAACTGATACACAGAAAAACCCTGTTTCCAAAGCCAAAAAACAAACAAACACACAACAACAGCAAAACTCAACCAAGCAACCAATACACAAACAACAACAACAACAACAAAATGAAGATACTGCTGCCCCAAATAGTTTGTCAGAACAGTTTAAATTACAAAGAAATTAGCCCACTGTCTCATTAAAAATCTAGGTATATTTTAATTAGATCAAGTCCTAATTATGAAAAAGGATCTCTGCAAACAAACTTATCCTAAAATCTTAAGTTTGCATAACAAAAAGCCGTTTAGATATTTATCATTAATAAAGGTATATCTTAAGAATTGAGTCACCTTTAAATGTAAAATACCAGGTTTTCACTTTTTTTAAAGTATTTTTATTTTATATGTTCTGAGTGTTTTTGCTGGGTCTAGGAGAATGCACCACATGCTCACAGGGCCACGGAGAGCAGAGCACTGAATTCCCTGTAACTGGAGTTACAGACAGCTGTGAGTCACCCTGTGGGTGCTGAGACCAAATCTGTGTAGTAGGATATCTCTCGAGTAACTGCATCTAGAGTAAACATCAGAATGAAGTAGCTGTTTTTAGAATGTAGTACTTGTTTTATGGAAATACTTAGACCTTGAAGAGATAGATCATTGTGGAAAGTAGTGACTGTTTTCTGTTGTTTATAGAACTGTTTTAATTTTTGTTTTGAACAGCACATTTCTATTATTATTATTATTATTATTATTATTATTATTATTATTATTATATTACTTTAAAAAATATCAATCCAAATTCCCACTCCCTCCCCTTTTCCCACTTCCCCTAACCCCCTCCAATCCTAAGAGAGGACAAGTCACCCTGCCCTGTGGAAAGTTCAAGGCCCTCCCTACTACATCTAGGCTGAGCCAGGCATACATCCAAAGAGAATAGGATTCCCAAAAGCCAGTACATGCAGTAGAGACAAATCCCAGCGCCACTGTCAGTGGCCCCTCAGCCTACCCCAACTGTCAACCACATTCAGAGGGATTAGTTTGATCCCACGCTTGTTTACTCCCAGACAAGTTGGAGTTGGTGAGCTCCCATTAGCTCAGGCAGATTGTCTCAGTGGAAGACCTCATGGTCTTGACTTTCCTGCTCATACTCTCCCTCCTTCCATTCCTCAACTGGACCTTGGGAGCTCAGTCCAGTGCTCCCTTGTGGGTATATGCCTCTGTTTCCATCTGCTGTTGGATGAAGGTTCTATGGTGACAGTCTGACTACAGGACATTTCCTTTAAAAAAAAAAATTAAACACCCACACAGTGAGACAATGGGGATGATCTATCGGGAACTCACCAAGGCCAGCTGGCCTGGGTCTGAAAAAGCCTGGGATAAAACTGGTCTCGCTGAACATAGCGGACAGTGAGGACTACTGAGACCTCAAGAACAATGGCAATGGGTTTTTGATCCTACTGCACCTATTGGTTTTGTGGGAGCCTAGTCTGTTTGGATGCTCACCTTACTAGACCTGGATGGAGGTGGGTGGTCCTTGGACTTCCCACAGGGCAGGGAACCCTGACTGCTCTTTGGGCTGACAAGGGAGGGGGACTTGATTGGGGGAAGGGGAGGGAAAGTGGGGGCGGTGGTGGGGAAGAGACAGAAATCTTTAATAAATAACTAAATAAAACTGTAAAGAACTTGTTTTTCATTTTACACAGCAATCACAGTTCCCCGTCCCTCCACTCTTCCCATTCCCATTCTCAGCACCTTCCCCTACTCAAACTCCCATCCACTCGATAAAAATTATATATTCGTAATGAAGCTATCACAATATAACGGAAGTTTAATGTATGTTTAAAAATTTTAATATGAATATTTTATTTATTATTATTGATGTGTACTTATGTGTGTGACCACAGTAGGCAGGTAAAGATGAGAGGAGAACTTGGGGCTGGTTCTTTCATTCCACTGGCGATGAAACTCAGGTTCCCAAGCTTACAAAGCAAGCACTTTTTCCCGTTGAGTCATTTCACCAGCCTGAAAATACGTTTTTATTTTTATATGCAGAATTCCTCTTCAATATTCAGTACTGAAAGAAAAAGAATTGATTACATTTGCATGGCAATTTGGAAATACTTTCACAAATTTGCTTCACAGTCCTCTAAAATAGTCCAGGCAGGTGTTATTATTCCCATCCAGAAATTAAGGCCACGTATTGAGGGCAGTAAAGGAAATGATGTGTGCTCACTGGTAAAACCACACTGGCTTAGCTCTGCATCCTGCCAATCAGTATCTTTTCTACTGTACAGAACTACCTCTGCCCTTGCACATTCTAGACAGCAGTCCTATCAGGTGAGTGGCTGTGGGACAACAAAATTTTGATAAAATGAAACAAAAGAATTGATACAAGTACATAATGAATTTTATGAAATTATTAATAAGAATAAAATCATGACTATTGCAGGAACATGGACTGAACTGGAGATTATAGTGTCCAGGAAATAAACCTGGTTCAAAAACAATGTTGCCTACTTTTTTCACATATGCAGAATTTGTGTGTGTGTGTGTGTGTGTGTGTGTGTGTGTGTGTAAGAGAAAAAGGTCTAGGAAGAGGAGTGAGAGACATTTAGAGTTATGGAAGTAGAGCATGGCTAATAGAACACTTGAAACATGGAAATGGAAAGGAGAGAGGGGCAGGAATGGAACCAGCAGCTGCCTTGGGAAAGGGGAGTTCACTGTCATAGCAAGATGAGTGAGAACAAAGTACAACATGTGTGAAATGACTACTGTGAATGTGAGCTAATGAAACTCAATACTGTATGAACATTTCCAAGGTATGAATTAAACAACATATAGCAAAAGTTAATAAATTAATCAATACACATGCTCCATAAACACTATTCTTAGGCAAAGGAAGACACTGAGACATAAAAATGAAGGCATTAAAACTAAAAAAAGAAAATTAATCTCTCTTAGTGTTAGAAATGGATCTGAACATCTCAAGAAAATGGCCAGGCCAAAATTTTACTTTTGTGGAAGGGAGCATAATGGTGTCAAGCTCAACATGCAAACACACCCAGCAGGGGTCGCTCGAGGACTTCTTCCATAAAGGAAAGAGGTTAGTGCTTAAATGGTCACAGCTCACCTCACATACTTAATGATAGTGGCTGGGTTAAAGCAATGCAGTTACAACCAGAACATAGTTTTGAGCACTGACATGAAACCTTTATTGAACATTTCACCTCAAGAACAATTGACCATGGACAAATTTCAATTTTTACCAAGGAGCTTCTTTGCCCCCCCCTTTTTTTTTTGAAATAGAATTCTGTCTTATTTATCTTTTTGACAGAAACAAACAGTACATTTTGATTACATTTTCACACTTTTTTGTACATTTAAGAATGTTCAGTGAGTTCCAGGAGTGGTGGGGCATGTCTTTAATCTCAGTATTCTAGAGAGAGAGAGAGAGGCAGGTGGATCTCTTTGAAACAATACCAGCCAAACTAATATAGAAAAATCTCGGTCCATTTAAGGCTAGTTAATTAGACTTGTTTCAGAAAAAAATAATGTCTGGGAGCGGGAGAGATGGCTCAGTGGTTAATGTACTGGCTGTTCTTCCAAAGAATGCAGGTTTTTTTTATCCAGTATCCCCATGATGGTTCATAACCACCTTAACTCCAGCCCAGGGGATCTGTTGCCCTCTTCTGGCTTCTGTGAGCACTGCACGCAGATGGCCCACAGACATACATGCAGACAAAACAACCATACACATACAATAAAAATAAATAAATCTCTTTTAAGAAGCCCCGTGTACCAGTCCGTGGTAATGCTGCCACTCCCCGCAGCACATCTACAAAGAAAAAAGCAAATATATTTTAATTATCTGGTTTTAACAGATAATTCCTGAGATCAGTCCAATGAAGCATTGGTTTTAGAGTGAGTAGCCTGAGATAGATGCTGTCTACTACATTGGTTTTAGGTGTTACTAATGGTTTGCTCTAAAGTGCTGTGGGTCAACCCTAGAGCTTCACCATACTAGCCAAGTGCTTTAAGACCCAGCTGTCTCACTAGTCCTGCTAACAATTATTGAACTCTCTGTTCCCAAATGCCACAAGTATTTACTGGGGAAGCACCAGCTTGTGCATCCCAAGAGGCTCACTGTAACCAGGAGAAAGCAAAGTACACAAAGAGAAGGCAGACGACCCTCCTCTCTCTGAGAAAATACAGAGTGGAAATGGGGACCATTTCCAGGAGGAAGGTATTGAGATGAGATTTGAAGAGGCAAATTCCTGTTCTGCTAGAAGGGGATGGGGGTCTAGAGTTTAGAAGTTGGGACAGATATTTGGTGTTCAAGAACACTTTTTGCACTTCTTAATAACTTGGGTTCAAATCCAAGCACCTACATAGTGGTTCCCACCATCCTATAACTACAGTTCCATGGATCTAATGTCCCCTTCCAGTCTCTAGGGGCATACATGGCACAAACATACAGACAGACAAAACACCCATATATGTATTGTTTTTTAAAGGGAATCATGAGAATGATTGAGGCAAGTAGTAACAGAAAGGACAAGGAATTTGAGACAGTTACTTATCCTGTCCCCCCCCCTTTTTTTTTTTTTACAATGCTGGCTCTTTATTCCTTTCAAAAATCAGAAAGCCAGGATCAAAGAGATGGCTTCATGGTTAAGAAGCTCAAGGAGATCTGGAATAAGGACCCAACAGTCCATGTAGGCACAGCAGCCTAACTGTAATTAAACCTGGGAATTTAGAGAAAGAAAATCCTAGAGCAAATAGAATTGCAAGACTACCTGCCTCAGTAAGTTCTGTTTTGATTTAAAGACCCTGTGCTGTTTTGAATGGAGAATGTGGAGTCCTCGTAGGCTAATACTATAGGGTGAAAAAGGTCAAGGAAAAAGCACCCTGACTCTGACTTGACCCCAGGACCAGCGCTTGAAATCCTACCAATCCCTGGGCTTGTCCTCAAATCAGGCTACAAAAATTCACCAATCTCAAGTCACCCTAGAAAGATCTGTTTCCCAAGAACCCCTATTTGTAGCTCTGTGCCCTGTTCAGTTTGCTGCTGCTTCTTACCCCAGGGGCAGCCACACTGCTGGATTCTTTCTTCCTAATAAATCTCTTGAGTGTGGTGTGACATTTTTTCTGGAGTGGAACAAGCTGCAACACTTACCAGGGAAACTTCCCACTAGCAGAGCAGAGCTGTATCATTTCATCTGGCCTGAGCAGAGCAGTAATAACTTTGCTGGGGAAATTCTATAGTTGTTACACTTGCTTTGGGGAAACCTTTCCCTGGAGCAGAACTGTAAGCTGCTATGTTTACAGTAACTTTGGGGTATTTTTTTTTTTTTTTGGCTACTGACTGCCAGGATACCTTTCCATCTGAGCTGCAATACTTACACATATAATTGAATGTTTGGGTCCCAGTATTAGGAACTGTCTTGGAAGTAATAAGAGGTGTGGCCTTGTTTGGCATGTGTCACTGAGGGTGGGCTTTGAAGTTTCAAAAGCCCACACAGTTCCCCTGTTAGCTCTCTCTGCCTTGTGCCAATGGATCAGATGTAAGCTCTTACCTACAGCTCTAACAATAGCACCATGCTTGCCTGCCTGCAGCCGTGTTCCCTAACATCATGGTCATGGACTCTAACCCTGTGGAACCTTGAGTCCCCAAATTGAATGCTTTTCCTTATATTTAACTTTGTCAGGGTATATTCTCAGAGTAATAAAAAGTAACCAAGACAGAGCCTATGCCAAAAATTGAATAATAAAAATGAACAACATTGGGCTCCCATCCACACAGGGAGATAAGTACACGTGGATCACCTGCCCCCCAAACACACCCATATACAGGTGAACCTGCACACACTTATGAACGCACACTATGCCCACATATGCATATGAAATAAAACATCTGAAACTCAAGTTGGTTTGTCACCTTCAGATTCTTATTATCAGTGGGCACATGGCTGTTTATGATGGGTGATAGATACTAATTTTGGGGGAGATGATGCAGAATCAAAGACTTGGACAGAGGCCAGCCAGACTTACCTCTCCGTATTTGGCTTTGTAGCCTTAGTCAACTCTGAACCTGGAGGCAGGGTTGTACCCCTTCTGACCACACCCTGTCCTTGCATTGTGAAGCCAAGGCAGGTTGAGTGATCTCATAGATATCAAGGGGGCACCTCTCTCTCTCTCATTCTGCTCATGCTAGTCCTGGCTGGGCCTCTTTTTCCTGCACCCCGGAGTAAAGTTGTCAACTTTGTCAATCATCCTCATCGAATCTACTTGCAAGACGGATGTAAATGGTCCCAAGCGCATGGAATCCCACAAGCCGCTTGACCTGAACCCTCGCTCAACCCCAGTACACAAGAATCTGCTACAAGAGCCCTCCTGTGTGGTTGGTAACAAGCTGCCAACAAAGATGAGCTCTGTGGTCATTGACATGGGTTCTGGCACGTGTAAGATGGGCTTCGCAGGACAGACTCGGCCCAGCTACATCGTGGCCAGTGTCGTGGGCTACCAGCCCAAGAAACAAACCACAATGGGGCAGCCCAAGGTGGACACTTATATTGGTGAGGCAGCCCAGGCTTGCCAGGAGTTAACCCTGATGCAGCCTGTTCGTAATGGTATTGTGGTGAACTGGGAAGCAGCTGAGATCATCTGGCGCCACATCCTGGAGAACGACCTCCAAGTTGCCACCCAGGACCATCCTCTGCTGTTCACGGACCCGCCCTTCAACCCTGCAAGCAACCGCGAGAAACTGGTGGAAGTAGCCTTCGAGTCTCTGCACTCCCCTGCCATATATGTGGCCTCCCAATCCGTGTTGTCAGTCTATGCCAATGGGTGCGTTAATGGGCTGGTGGTAGACACAGGCCACGGGGTCAGCTACACAGTGCCAGTCTTCCAAGGCTACAACCTACCCAGTGGCATCCAGCGCCTTGACCTGGCTGGCCACTACTTGACTACCTTCCTGGCAGAGAAAATCTTGAGATCTAGCTTGCCACTGAAGAAGGAAGACGTGGACACCATGGAGAGTATCAAGCATCAATACTGCTATGTGGCCTCAGATTTCCAGAAGGAGCAAGGGCGCCCTGATGACAAATTCCGGCGGTGCCTGAAGCTGCCAGATGGACAGATGATCACAGTGGGGAAGGAGCTCTTCCAGTGTCCTGAACTACTGTTCCATCCCCCGGAGACCTCGGGACCTTCATCTTTGGGCCTCCCCAGGATGGTGGAACAGAGCCTTTGCACGGTGCCACGGGAGCTGCAGGCCGAAATGGAACAAAATGTGCTGCTGTGTGGAGGCTCCTCTCTCTTCTCTGGCTTCGAAAGTCGCTTCAAGGCTGAGCTGCTGCAGTGTCTTAGTCCAGACGCCTACGTGGTTGTGGCTGCCCAACCCAATAGGAACCTCTCAGTGTGGACTGGGGGATCCATTCTAGCCTCACTGTGTGCCTTCCAGTCCCGCTGGATCCAGCGTGAGCAGTACGAGGAACAAGGTCCCGATATAGTGCACCGCAAGTGCTCTTGATTCATCGCAGGGTGGAGAGTGATGTGGGAATAAAACTTCCAAAGTGAGCACTTTCCTTTCATGTTGCATTCTCTCCCATCCCACTCACTGAAAGCCACCTAGGAGCCTCAGGTATGAACCCCCTTGCAGAACAATGGCCGCTGGAACTTGACCCTCACACATTCCTGGGTGAAATCAGAACTAAAGCACCTCCTCTAATCTACACCTTTGAGGCATCCCGATTCTCACCCATTCCTCCACAAGGATCCCTAACATAATACCATTTCCTAATCTCATCAACCCACCCTCCCGGCATCCTCAAGTGTGTGTGTGTGTGTGTGTGTGTGTGTGTGTGGAGATACACACCCACAGACTATCATTCTGACAGGGATATGATGGAAATTAGATGATTTGTAGTTTTCCAATGTTAGTTTCTAAGTTTTCCAAGGTTAGTGGATTTGGATGTATTTTCTGTGTGTATTGACCAGTTACATTTCATCTTCTCAGAACTGTTAGTTCATTAGCTCACTTAGTAACTGGATTGTCTGATTTTTGTTTGTTTGCTTAGTCTTTTGATTTCTTTATATATTCTAGGCATTAGCACTCTGTCAGATAGGTTGTGTGCAAAGATATTCTTTCATTTTGTGGGGTGCTTATTGACACAATTGGTTTTTGTTTGTTTGCTATGCAGGAGCCTTTTAATTTCATGAATTCTTAATTGACAGTTGTTGGCCTTATTTCTGGAACAACTGGAGTCCGGCTGAGAAAATCTTCCCCTGTGCCTATATTAAATTGTTTTTCCATATTTATTCTTTATGAATGTGTTGTCTGAATATCTTATGTGCATTACATGCATGCCTGATGAGCATGAGTTTAGAAGAGAGCATAAATTTTCCTAAGGTTGAATTTATAGGTGGCTGTTATCCACCATGTGGTTTCTGGGAACTGAATCCAGTTCATTGTTGAGAGAACAAAATTGCTCTCAACTCCTGAGTCATCTCTCTGGCCTCCTCTTTTAGCAGGTTAAGATTGTCAGTTCTTCATTGAAGGTTTTTGATAGCTTCAAAGTTGATACACCTAATTTCATTCTTATACATATATCTCTAATTATTTTTAGTTTTATTTTTGGTGTATGAGTGCCTTGTTTGTATACATGTATATGTACCATGCCATTGCCTGGTGCCCATAGAAGAGAGAGGGGAGTCAAAACCTCTGGAATTGGAGTTATGGATGACTGTGAGCCACTATGTGGGTACTGAAAATCAAACTTTGGTCTTCTTCAAGATCAACAAATTCTATTAATCTTTGAACATCTTTCTAGCTCCCAACCCCTTCTATGAGACAAGATCTCTCTGCTCAGCCCTATCTGTCCTGGAACTCCTTGGTATGTCAGGATGGTCTCAAATTCATGGGGATCCTGAGTTTTGGAACTAAAGGTACAAGCTACTACACCTGGCTGGTCTGTTCACTTTTACCAATACCAGTTTTTAGAGAGGCTATCACAGAGATAGTGGGCATCTGCCGAGAAACGTCATCTATTAGCTCTAAACTGAACCATTGTGCACATGAGCTCACAGGAGATGTGAATGCATGCTTAAGATTTACACACAAATTAACTATAATGAAATTTGACAAAAAAATCTTACCCGGAAATATAGTGAGAGTTCACACATCAAATAAAGGATATTTTCAGCTGCTATTTTGTTCTAAATGTTAAACACAGGGTTGCTTCCCAGCAACTAATGGCTGCTAAGATGAGAGCATAAACAAAGGAAGAAAATGATGTAGGTCATTGGAGGGCACCGATCTGTGAAAAATAAGGGTCAGGGAAGGAGACCATATTTCATAACTCAAATAATAGTTTGTTATGGTAAATGATGAACTGGGTGTTAGCGGATTCAGCATGAGTCAGGGAATTTCTGGACTTTGCCTGATCATTGTGATCATTGGTTCTCTATTCTGGCTCTTGTTGAGTATTCTGTAATTTTGAATGTTACAGCATGGGTCTCACTCTGCATTTTTCATGGTTAATGGCTGCTCTACAAATGAAGCTGCTTCCCCCTGCCTTGGACTTTGGAATGGAACACCCAGAGCATACACATGAGTTCTGACTGTCATGGGTCCTTCTAGAATCTTAGCTTCACATCAAACTGTGGATCTTCTGAGACACACCCCTGATAGCATTTCCAATGGTATTCAGACAAATAGCTTTTTGATAGAGGCTGGACCAAATATGTCCAACATGGTTTCCTCCCAGGAACCTTAATGTTTGGGGATATGAGTAACGTCATTACACCTGAGGCTGAGATGACCTTATCCCTGAGATTCTGAACCTGAAATGCAGAGCCACGAGGCAGATAATGTCCCAGATTTTTTTAGTGTTGTAAAGTCACCTGGAAAAAAAGGAACTGGGGCCAAATGAGTGACATCTCCAGTTAGCAACAATAATAAAATAATATCAAAATAATATTATAATGATAACAATAATGATGTACTAATGCCAACATTCCACAGAAATTGGCAGGTGCTTCCTGTCATAGATGCCAGCATTTCACAGAGGGTGACTGTGCTTCCTGCTGTAACTGTCTCCATTACACAGTAGAGATAGATGGTTTGCACACTTGGTCACTTTTGACCTGATTGAAGATGTGTGACTCTGCTATTTTCATTCTTTGACATTTACACCACATCCACCTCTTTTTCCATCTTTTCGGAATTTTCTATAAACATATTTGCATATTGTTGCCACTTAGTACAGAGCTTCTGATCTCAAACTCCTAGTGGATGATGGGGAATCTCTCAGTGACAATTATTTTCTTTTCCCTGGGAGGTGGGGCATGATAAGCACTGTTCAAGAGAAGCTTCATTACAGGCATGGGAACCACTGCAGGGCATTTCCCAGAATGAAGAATCTGTTTAACTCTGAACGTACAAGCTCACAGTCAAGAAACAGGTTTGGGTGTGGTGGGTCAGATACGTAAAATGATGAAGACACAGAAGGACTGGAAGGCTCTGGTGGCATTGAGTTAACCAGGTTTGTGTTTAAACCTGTTCTGTGAAATTAGATATCGGCTCAGGATGAGGGAAGTGGAGACATTCAGCTTGACAAGATACCTATGCTAGCCAAACTGAATTAGCACTATTCACACTAAAATTAAACAAAGGGGGAAGAAATGAAAATGATGAAATCTGCTTGAAATCAAACCCAGAAGAATCTCTGTAACCCATAAGAAGAGCAACTCTTTGTATTCATGAAGCAGAGGCTCTTTCAGTGCCCGTAGACGTTGTCACTGGAGACACAGAATGGAGACTTTTTTCTGTCTGTGGGAAGCTACTTTGGGATGCATGCAATTCTCTCCTCTTCATCAACTTGGGGATGAATTACCTTCAAAATCTAGCTACCTCCAGAATTTCACATAATAACCTCAGTCTTCACCCAGAAAGAATATGTTTGTAGTTTCTCGCATTTTTCATATCAAGGTTATTTTTGGTCCTATGTTTATTAAGGATGAATGGAGCACCAGGTTAAGATGTTTTCATATGACAATTCTTTCAGTACAAATGCCAAAGGTAATTTGTAATAAATGGCCTATATATTCAGAATGTCTGGGCCTCATAAAAGATATATAGCCTTCATCAATCCTTTTCTTTCCAGAAATATAGACTGAATTTATTTTGTGAGGCAAAATTTTGGGTAGTCTAGAATTTAGTTACTGTTTAGCTGAGGGTGGACCTTGAAACTCATGCCTCTACTTCCTGACAAGTACTAGGATTCTAGGCATGGAACATAAATACAAAAGTGGATTATCCAGTACAGCTGCATTGGCTTATTTTATGTGAACTTGACACAAGTTAGAGTCATTGGGGAAGAGGAAGTCTCAAATGAGAAAATGCCTCCTCAAGGTTGGGCTGCAGAGAAGCCCATAAAGCATTTTCTTATTTAGTGACTGCTATAGGAAGGCCTAGCACATTGTAGGAGGGCCCACCCCTTTCTTGGCTGATGGTTCTGGGTTCTATAAGAGTCCAGGATGAGCAAGCCATGAAGGGCAAGCCAGTAAGCAGCGCTCTTCCTTGGCCTTTTCCTCAGCTCCTGCCTCCAAGGTCTTCTTTCTTTCTTTCTTTCTTTCTTTCTTTCTTTCTTTCTTTCTTTCTTTCTTTCTTCCTTCCTTCCTTCCTTCCTTCCTTCCTTCCTTCCTTCCTTCCTTCCTTCCTTCCTTTCTTTCTTTCTTTCTTTCTTTTTTTGAGACAGGTTTTCTCGGGAGCTTTGGAGCCTGTCCTGAAACTCACTATGTAGACCAGGCTGGCCTTGAATGCACAGAGATTTGCCTGCCTCTGCTCCAGAGAGCTGGGATTAGAGGCTTGTGCCACCACCATCAGGCTACAAAACTACAGAGAAACCCTGTCTCAAAAAAACCACATTGAGAAGCTCGGAGGGCAGGTACATAGGGATGAAAGAAGAATGGGATTGAGATGCGTGATGCGAATGCCACAACGACCAAATAAAAAGTAAGTTAAACATTGAGTTACCATGGTCGTGGCGCCTTTTCACAGCAAGAAAAAACCTTAACTAAGATACCAACCAACACATAGTCAGATTTTATGTTCCTATACTCCACAAGCACAATGTCCTTTAATATTACCAATATTCTCTCTCTCTTTCTTTCTTTTCTGTTGTTTTACAAGAAAGGGTTTCTCTGTAGTTTTGGAGCCTGTACTAGAAATAGCTCTTATATATTAGGCTGGCCTCAAACTCACAGAGATCTGCCTGGCACTGCCTCCCTAGTGCTGGGATTAAAGACATGCACCACCACTGCCTAGCCCATATATTATTTTCCCATGAACTTTTGGATGTTACTATTTTTTATTGCATTCTATTAGTGAATTTTTATTATAGTTAGGAAGGAAGTATTAACAATTCCAACGGATAAATCACATGACAGATATTTGCGTGGTCTGGGTACAGTAAATGAATTTATACAGATCAAATGCTAGTACAAAGTTACCCACTCTTTGTTTTGCAT